ACACAGACAAGGAGCATGTGGACAAAGGACAAGGCCCTAAGAATGGTGAACCAACCAAACAGCAGGAACTGAGCCGGGTATTGTTCAGAGTAGAGATATAAACTGCTCTTTTGTATAAGCCCCTATTAATTATACCAGGGTTTTGCTACACAAAGAGCCACACTTACCTAACTGGTCCCCAGGCTGGCTGCTTTTGGTCCAGTTGGCTAGAGCTGGAGGAAAGGGAACATGTGGAGAATACCACTCTGCCAGCTCAAAGAACAACTAGAGGATGTCCCGGACCCTTCCATCAGCAGGAGGTAAGGAGTGAGCAGTTTCCTTAAAAAAAAAAAAAGGTGTTTATTAAAGACCCTACCAACTGACAGGTCTGGACACCAGGAGATACCCTTTTAACTTTTGTTAATCATCGCCCGCCACAGAAATCCCATCTTGTAACCAAATCAATGGTCAGTTCTCAGTCATATCACTCAACCTACTGACAGCAGTTGATAAAACTGACTTCTCTCTCCTGGAAACATTCTGGTTTTCCTCCTTGACTGGTCATTCCTTCTTGGTCTCCTTAAGTAGTTCCTTCTCTTCCCAGCCTCTAGGTTCTCAAACTGTCTCATGATCTGAATCGCCTAGAGGGCTTGTTAAATATGGTGCTACAAAACACCCTATCAGGATGTCTGGGTGGGGCCTGAGAATTTGCATTTCTAACAAGTTCCTAAGTGATGCCGAAGCTGCTCATTTGGGAACCAACTATATGCTGGAATGTCCCAGGGCTTAACAGATAGTGGGGGCAAACTGTAACATCCAAATGTGATCAAATCCCAGTTTATATCTCCAGCCATTAAATCCACATTCCAGTTAGACAGAAAGGAAGGACAAGGGCAAAAAAGGGAGTTTCTTAGCTATCCCTCTGTCTTTTAAGGTGCCTTTCCTGAAATCCTGCCCAACAAATTCCAATCATATTAATATACCATTGGCCTGATATTTGACATGGCAGCATTTTGTTGGCTTGATACTTTGCTGCAAGAGAGTCTGAGAAATATAGTTGGGCACTCCACTGCTCAGAATGGACCCATTTCCTGTTATTAAGGAAGAGAAGAATAATGACTACAAGGTAGGCAACCAACAGCCTCTGTCATAGTACATATTGCTTAGCGCTCATTATCAACACTTTAGCTATTACAAGTGGATTGCGAGGTTCTATAAAATGGCTCAATACATTGAACTGCTGGTCATGGGATCTTTGGTCATTTGCCTCTTCTGCAGACTTTGCACAGGTTTTATACACATGACGATGGAAAGAAATCCACATCTTCACATGGTCCCTATGACATGTTCAATAGGCCGGGCACTGTCCCAGGGGCCAGATCTTTGATCATCATGGGGACTGATTTTTGTGGCCTCTACTGCTAGGCTTTACCATCACTCCATCTGTCCTGTCTAAAGTCCCAGCTTCCTGCTTATTCAGATGAAAGGAGAGAGTGCCATGCTAATTCTCTACCCTTCATCTGCTGGTGAGCCAATGTGGCACAAGAAATTAAAATAATTGCACTTTTTAAAAATACCTAGACACAAAGGCTCCATCCTTCTCATCTTGGTGCCCACGCTCTCAGCTGATCTCTGGTATACTGCTTTATTACTAAGCAGGAATTCTCACAGGTGCAGGTGTGAGAAACTCAACATGTGTGTCTACTATGTAGTGTGGATAGGACAGTCAGCATTTTGGTTCCACAGGTACTGATGTCAAGGGCAAGAAGGCTGTCATGTCTAGTAAAGCTTGGTGGCCTGGCTTTCGGTCACATCCTCATGTCTGCTGCTTGTACTAAAGGGTGACCACACGTGGATGAGCCAAGTTTGAGTTAGTCTTGCTTGGCGTTATCTTTTGAGATTAGACCTAGCCCCATCTCCCAGTTCATTGTGGCTGGCTTACTCAGCCTGGGACCCTGCCCAGCTGCCATGGCTACAGCTGGTTATTGCAACTGGACTTAGAATGTTTTGGTATGAGTATTTTTCCCTTCGGCAGCTGAGTGAAGATGTGATAAGAAAAGGAAGGCAGTGTGTCTGGGGTATGCATGGAATGGCAGGGCCAGGCTAAGGAATGTGTCATCAATGAGATTAAAACAAACATAAAAACCACCACCACCCTAGAAACAAGAATAGTTGGGTGACAGGTCGGTCCACCAAAGCCCAGAGGTCAGAAGAGCCACAGGTCAGGGAGCCCAGATCAGTGCTCCATGGAGCTGCAGGAAGAGTGGATGAAGAACTAATAGCACAACAGTGAAGGAATTTGCAGTCCTCATTCAAGATTAGCTTGACGTTTTATTTTCCTACTGAAGTTTCTAGTTCAGAAAGTGCGTTTGATTTGGGACTCAAGTTCTCATTCATTCAGCATGCAGATTTTCTCTACCGTATCTCAAAGCTCTCTAGCATTATCGATCTTTTCCTTTGAGGAGCTGATTCATGGAGTGCATCTGCTAACTTGTGCTAGAAGTATTCTTTTAAAATTCAGATAGGGCTTATTAAGTGCCAGAGAGATTATTTCATTTCTTTGAAACTCATTTTAAAGCCGTAGACTAAACCACTATGAACACTACGAAGTCTTTCACCTTCTGTCTCAATGTTAGCATACTTTCAACTTGATTAGTTCCTGATTCCAAGATTAGATCCCACTAATGGCCATCAGATGAAGCTAAAACCTCAAAATTTAAGGCCTCCACTACTGCATGCCTATTGTGAAATGCCAAGCAAAAGGTAAAGGCCCATTTTTCTCAGAATTTTTAGCAGGATATGGAACAGTATTTCACATTTAAAAAAAATATATTCTGCAGAATGCCAAATTTAAAACAAAGGAAGAACTATTAAATGTGTGTCCCCACTTTTTCAATTATCTCTGTACTCAAGTCTGTTAGAATTCTGAGTTTGTTCTAGTCTCATCTTGCTGACAATGCTAGAATATTTTAGGGAAATACTTGATCCTTGTTTTGCATTTAGTAAGGCGGTAATGAAAGATTCAGAACTCAGAGATGGTCATCAGCCAAAAGGCTGCCAATAGTCTCTTTTATTTTCTACTTAACATTATTAAATAATATCAGGTATTACCCACTCTAATAGATTCTGTACTGTTTTCCTCAAGCTTCTTCAGAAGTCTACACATGAAGTCTTCCCTGCTGCTCATCTGCTGGAAGAAAGGTGGGCCAAGATCAAAAGGGATGTCGGTAGGATGGGGAGGGTTGTTTGGCAACGCAGCTTCTTGAATCTGACCATAACTCCCAGGAGAAATGCATCTTGGCCCCCTGGGCTCCATGCAGGGCCATCTGGGTTGCAGAGAGCCTTTCAGAATCAAGTCTTCTCTGGATTTTATTTTAAGCAGATTCCTGGAGTCAAAGTTGCCTGATGCCTGATCTTTAAAAATAAAAATATTGTGCTGGGCCCAGAGAATGAATTTGGGGAGTCAGGATTTAAAAATTCAGCAATGTGGGATGACATCAAGGCAAACCTAAGTATTCAGAGCTTTCACTAACCGAGGAGCAGTTTGGGGTCCTGAGGAAGGTAAGGATGGACAGGAAGGGGTCATTTGGAAAGATGGGCCTAACAGTAATATGTAAAATGTAACCACGACAGAAGCTGTTGATGTTGACCAAATACTTTCCTAGCTTCTTGGTGCTGGGTTCTGGCTTGTGAGATGTGGACAGAAGTGATGGCCCTTAAAAATACCCCGCAGAATCCTCTGGCTTTCTCTCCCATGATGACCTTGCAGGCAACGTGTTCTGGATCATGATGGAGTAAAGCAGGCCAACTCACCTCAGAGTTTCCATGAGAAAGGAACCTTTATTTGGGGGTTTACATATTATGGAAGCATAGCTGAATATACCCCTCTTTGATGACAAAGAGGGGAGAATTTGAATCAGAAAGTGACAACTGTAGTAGTGGGAGTCTGAGATGATGGAGGTATAGGCTAGACAGAATTCAGAGAAAAGGATGAATCCAAGAGGTGCTTTAAATAAAACTGGGTAAGAAGAAAAATTATTATTCTGATAAATATTTATTGAGCTCCTGTTATTTGTAAGGCACTGTGTGACATACAAAGACATAAGTCATGCCTCCAAGTGCTTACGATCTAGTTGAGGAGATAATACATGTACATAAATTATAAAACAAACCTTACAACATAATGGTAAAGGGAATAGAATTTGAAGGTAGACCTTTATTGAAGACCTGGCTTCATCTTGGGCAAGTTATTTAACCCCTCTAAACTCCACTTGCTCATCTGTAAAGTGCAGGTAGTAGCCATACCCACTTCACAGGGTCATCGAGGGGACGGACCAAATAACCCTCTGTAGAACTCCGACTGAGTGCTTACCCTGTAATAAGCACTGAATAAGTGCTAGCTATTTGTAGTAGCATATTAAGAAATCTAAAAGCTTGGACACAAATGAACAAAGTCAGTTCCAAAAAGCGCTCCTAGAGAGGAACTATTCTGGAAACACCAGTCCTGCTCTGATATCATTTCGCCTTTCCCCTCCTGCTGTGGCCTCCAGTTATGTAAAGTGCAGTGAGACCTAGCGCCCCAGACCAGAGGTGTCTGAGGATCGCCTCTAACATTTATCCTGTCGTCTGACAAACTTCTGCAACAGTCGCACCCTAATTTCCGTCAACTCAGTTCAATTCTAGAACATAGTAGGTAAAGAGAGATTTTATTCAAGCACTATGGTAGCAGAGGCAGGAAAGGACAGTAGTAGCCAGAATAGGTAGAATGACTGAATGACAGGATTTGTTTAAGATGAGGAAGACCTATTTTAAATTTTCACAGAGGTCTTTTGACTAAAGCTTTCACCCAACTCAGTCTATTCCCTGTTTGGCATAACGCCGCTGATGTTGAATAACTGACGACTTAGAACTGAAAACTTTCCCACACACACTGCATTCAAAGGGTTTCTCCCCCGTGTGAACCCTTTGATGCCGCGTGAGCCGGCTTCTCTGGCTAAAGGCTTTCCCACACTCACTGCACTCATAGGGCTTGTCTCCAGTGTGAATCTTCTGATGCTGCGTAAGCGATGAGCGGTCAAAAAACGCTTTCCCACACTCGCTGCACTGGTAGCGAGGCTCTCCAGCATGAGCTTTTTGATGTCTATTTAAGGATGAGACACCATAAAAAGCTTTCCCACACTCGTTACATTCATAAGGCTTCCTGCCAGTGTGGATTAGCTGGTGTCGTGTAAGAATGCTTTTCTGGCTGAAGGCTTTCCCACACTGACTGCATTCATAAGGGCTTTCTCCGGTATGAATTCTCTGATGCCGAGTGAGGGATGAACGGTCAAAGAAAGCTTTCCCACACTCGCTGCATTTAAACGGCTTCTCCCCGGTGTGAATTCGCTGATGAACAGTCAGGGATGAACGGTCGAAAAAAGCTTTTCCACACACACTGCACTCGTATGGGCTTTCCCCCGTGTGTGACATCAGATGTCTGCTGAGACTGCACCTGTGACTGAAGACTTTCCCACACTCGCCACACTTAAAGGGCTTCTCTCCAGTGTGAATTCGCTGATGTACAGTTAAGGACGAACGGTTGAAAAAGGCTTTCCCACACTCATGACAGTCATAGGGCTTCTCTCCTGTGTGAGTCCTCTGATGGCGGATAAGGGATGAGTGGTCAAAAAAGGTCTTGCCACAATTGCTGCATTCCTGGCCTCTGTCCTTAGTGAGAATTTTCTTAGGAGGGGTCGACCCTTGCCACAAGCTGTCCTCCTTGGAAAAGGGTTTCTTGCAAATTTCCACTGCACAGCCTTCCTTCTCTGCTTCCAGCCCACCTTCCAGGGCACGAACTTTAAATTTAGAACACAGAGGACTTTTTCTTCCGAGCTTTTCTCTAGATGTGCCTTCTGATATTTTGTCTTCTGAAGCACCTTGAATTTCAGGCTTAGTCTCCCAGTCTGAAACAGACAGAAAACATAGATGCAGTGTCTTTCCTGCACTAAGCGATATTGCAGCAGAAAGAAATACCATGAAAAATCTGAAAACTAATACAGTCACTGCATTTCTTGCTCCCACAAAGAGTCATATACTTTAATGGAAAGACCTGATTTTGAGAACGAAGAAGGCAGAGAACAGAACTGACAGTGGACATCTCAGGAAAGAGAATTCCCACTGGGAGCATGGCAGGACAATTAGGAGAGTATGCAAAGTGTTCAACTGTGAATGCGCAATGTGACAAGTCTGAGAAAATAGTCTTTGGTGAGTGAAGATGAATAATACTTTCAGGTGTGGAGAGAAAATGAAAGCTGGTGGGTGACAGAGAACAGCACTACAGCAGAAGATTTACATTTGCGTAAAAGGTGAGAGCTAACACTCCCTTTCACACCCCCCCAAATAACAACCATGGAACAAAACAAACTCTGCCCTGCCCTGCTCATATGCAGTTACCTAGAGAAGCACCCCCTGGACAGCCTCTCTCCTCAGATCCACGAAGTTCAATAATCCAAGGCTTATCTGCTCTGTTCAACTGGAAAATCACATCAGGCTGAGGAACGGGAAGTCCTGCTCATGGAGAGAGAAACAAGCCAGGCATGTGACGAAAATACAGGACCACTCCAAAGCTTAATCTCAGCCTCTAGGACTTTTGGAGAGAAATGCACAAGGCAGACCATGCACGTGAGAGTGCAGAGGACAGAGTAACACAGAAGATGCAGGGACATCTGGGTGGAGGTCAATACTGAGGGTCTAACACAGAAAAAGGGGCACTTGGTCAAGATGCTGATAAAATCCCCTCAGGTGAAAGTGTCTGATTCCCCCTGGAGACAAATGGGACGCTCTTGGCATTAGCATTGATAGGATGGGGGGAATGGGTCCTTGGCTCAGGGAAGATAACAATGAAAAGAGCCCATCTTGAGTAAAAATGTATAATGAAAGTGCCTGTTTTTGTTCATCTGTTGACCCTTTCTTATTATGCTTTTATTTAAAGTGGGTCATGTTCATTGTAGAAAAATTAGAAGTCAAAAGAAAAATCACCTTTTGTACTTCGTATCCATTTCTTTCTTTCTATTCATTTGGATACCAAAAGATACCTGTAGATACATTGTTAAAAACCAGGTAATGATATAATGTTTATTTGTAAACTTGTTTTTTTCACATAATTAATTAAAAATATTTTATTTCAGTTAGCACAGATCTACCTCACCATTTTAATGCCTACATATTATTCTTTATGGGATAATTAATTTACTTACTCTGAGACATTTCAAGCTGTTTTTAATGTTTTGCTGTCAACAAACAATGACATGAGCTTGTGTACCACATGGGCTGCTATGCTAATCCTATTATTTCTTTGGGACAAATTTTTGGGAGTGAACCTGTCCTTTTTTGATTACAGAAATAAACAGATCCCCCTCCTAGAAACAGTCTTGAGGTCTAAACTTCCCTTGCAGTGGACCCAACTTGGAAAGGAAAGGCACTTTCTTACTGGGCCCAGGGATCACCTATCTGGTGGCATGCTGATTCTCTGCTGACAAAGTAGCCACACCCATCGGCTCCCCTCGCCTGCCTGTCCCTGACCTGAGGACTTCTGTATTCCCGCTAAAGCCAGTGACGAAGGCCCAGCAGTCTCCCTCATACTCCCTGAACACTGTTTTCCATATCTGGCCCATTTAAGCTAATTGGGGAGTATTACACTTGCTATTTTGACTAGTCTTGCATGAAATCTGCAATGTGTTTCCTTTTACTGCCATGTGCTGCTTATTTTAAGCCTGTTTCTGAATCTATGGTCTTGTAGCCTCTTATTCTGGAAGCTCCTGAGAAGTCCTCACCACCTAAAGGAGCCCCACTCTACCTCTCACAAACACCTGACACCAGCAGTGGTTCTTGACTCTCCTTGTCATGCAGGTCTCTAACTACGAAGTGCCTTCTGTGGGCATCTAGGTGGCACTTAAGACTGATATTCAAAATCAGACACACTTCTGGTGACTCACTATGAGGCACCACCTTGTAGCGCCCCCACAGCCCCTCTGTCAGAGGGTACCCTTCTCTCCTTCCTCTGCTCCTCTGAAGAGGGATGTTCCCCGAGCAAGCTGGCTCCCTGCCCACTGCCATCCTTGGGATGGAGCTGTGTTGGTCACTGGGCTGGTGAGTTGGGGGAAGAGCTGGACACACAAAACTCAGCCTCTGGTGGCCCTGAGGGGCCGGCTCCCTGGCAGGCCCAGGCTGCGGAACAAGGGAGCCTGTTGCCATTGCCCCATGCACGGTTTGGGAGTAGGTAGATGGCTGTCGCTCACACCAAGGCTGCACCCTCCTGTTCTTCCCTCTGCTTCCCAGGGGTTCAAGGTCAGGCAGGAGGAGCGATATCTGCTTACCAGCCCCTAACCCCACATCAACCCAGCAGAGGCCACCTCCTTAGGGGGTATTCTCCTTACCCAGGAACACGATGCTCTCATAGGTCTCCAGCATCACCTCCTTGTAGAGGTCCCTCTGAATGGGGACCAGATGCCTCCACTCTTCATCTGTGAAGATCACGGCCACATCTGCGAACGTCACTATGCTCTGGAAACAATAACAGTCTCCCTTACTCATAACCCTTCTCTTTACATGGACCAGACAAAACTGTCATAAAGGTGACAGCCCTGGAGGATGTGTGTGTATGGAGAATGGTTCTGACAAGTGGGGCTCTGACACACTTGGGGAAAATGGCACAATGTCCCTTAGTCCTAACCCCACACCCTAGCGTCATGGCTGAGCCTCTGAGGACCGGGCTCTTTCTTCAGCCTTACAGAAAACTTGCACGAAAGGAACAAAGAGCCCCCGTGGACCTTTCACCCAGCCTCCCTAAACATTAACATTTTCCACGTTTGCTTTACCTTCCTGTCTCTCTTCAGTACATAGCCATTCTCCTGTCTTCTTCCTGAACTTGAGAGTAACTTGCAAATATGACGTTCCTCTACTCATAAATATTTTAGTGTATATTTTGTAAAAACAAGACATTCTCTCGTATAATCACAGAATTATAAAAATAAAGAAAATAGCATTGATATTTTACTATTATCTAACTTACAACTTTATTCAAATTTCACCCATTGTCTTTGTTCACAAATCCTTAAAGTAACGATGTTGATTAGACAGTCGCTGGGATCCCTCTCAATCCACTCTATGCTTTGAGATTTGGTAAGATTGCATCTCCCCCACCCTAAAACCCCAGACGAGTCTCCAGGGTGCCTGCAGAAGTTGTAAGCCAGAGCATGGCATTCTAGACCCTCTGCCTTGGGTGGGAATGGGCAGGCACCTGTCTGCCCACACCAAACTGTCCTCAGGACTTGCGAGCTCCCGGAGGCACTGCCCAGCATGTGTCCTACCCTGCTGGGGCATTGGGGGCCTGCCCTAAGTCTGCACATGGATATACTACGGGAGTCAGGATGAGAAGCAGCCAACTGTCCCCAAACCTTCCAATCAGACCCATACCATCATTTTGAAGGCAAAATCACACAGCGAAGGCCACACTGGGGCTGTCACCTGGTGACAGGCTAGTGAGCACATGTTCAAGAGAAGAAAAGATCACTGAAGGACACCAGAAGCCAAAGGGGAAGGATGTACTCCCTATGAACCTTTCAGCTACCTGGCTGGGTCTGATCAAAGATGCTCCAGGGCAGAGAAAGAAAAATGTCAAATCCTGGAAGCTAACAAGGTGCTTCAGAAACAGAGTGCCTCACCTGGCACCCAGCGGTTGGGGCCGCAGCAGCCATCCCCTCCTGCGTGCTCTCCTGGTAGCAAAGGGCAGAGTCCTGATGAGGCTGAGGTGTGGGATGAGAAAGAAAGGATGAGAAAAGTCAGTTGTGTTTTGTAGTTTCCTGACCCAGGAAGCAAGAAATCTCCACATACTAGCAAGTTATATGCCCATCCTTAACTTGATAACTTACACAAAGGGGAGGGAAGTGGAGCACAGCAGGGGGCAAGCCCACCCCACCCTAGAACTAGGTCAGGAGTCATCGATTCCAAACAACAAACACAATGTGCTGCTTGTGTTACCATGATCCCAGGTGCAGAACTCTGCCTCTGTGAGTCAAAAACATAGTGAGGCTCATACTGTATTTACAAATTCACATTCAGCATCGCTCTAAATGTTCCTGGGTAAAAAGTGTAAGAAGTTTTATGAATGACTACATGGATAACACATGGCACGTAAATACCCACAGCCTCTTCAAAAGACAAGTGCCCCCCTCAAAACCCCGTGCTAAAAGGAGCAGCCTGCGGGCAGCATGGTCTGTTCACTCCTGGAGCCGCAAGTGGGCAACGCACAGCTGACCGGCAGACAGGTGTGGTCTGCCTTGAAGAGGTAACATCCTTCCTCAGAAAGGTGAACTAAGAAATCTAAGGCCAAGTGGGTGATGAGCTGAAAGGACATCATGAGGGACAGAAGTAGCCACAAAGACCAGGGGGGCCAAAGATACCAGGAAGCAGAACCCATGAGCATGTGGGAGGTGGGACCAGACACCAGCAGGGGAAAGCAACCTGGTCACACTGGTGGTGAAGCACTGAAGCGAAGACTCTGGATTCACGGTCCTGAAGTCCCTCAATTCACCTAGTCCCACCCCTGGGCTCTGATGTGCATAGAGACCAGCCTTCTTTATTCTTATTTATTCTTGGATTTCCATGACTCTAACCCTCTTAGGCCATGTGTAAATCCTTATCCCTGATCTCCCTTTGAGTTAGGGGACTATGTCTCAGTTTCTTACAGTCAAGAGTCTAATTAAAACACAGTTAATCCAGCACTGCCAGGCTTCCTGAGTGGACCAGGAATGCTCCCATGAAGGAGAAAGGGGTGTTGCTCCTGGACTACTCTCCTGTAGTTGAGGGAACACATTCACTGCTCTTCATTATGTGTTCATGCATGTTCCAACCAACATTAATTCAGCACCAACTATATCAAGCCCCAAAACTATATGACACTGTTCTTGTCCTCCAAAAGCTTCTAGCCTAGCACACAGGACAAACGAGTGACCGAAATATTTCACTGCAGGACAAGTAAGTGCCACAAAGGGAGATGCACAGCAAACTACGAGAGCACATTGAAAGCTCACCTAACCCAGTCAGGAGGGAGGAGGAACAGGGCAGGTTTCTGGGCAGAAGTGGGATCTAAAATAAGTTGTGATTTGGGGGAGGTGATGGAACATTTTAGGGAGGAAAAACACCAAGTTTTCAAAAACAAAGAGGCAGGTCTTTACATGGGAAGGATTAACTGCCATGACTGGTTTAGACTGGCAGATGTCTGGGCTGTGAGCAGGGCTGTGGGAGATGGCAAGGCTGGAGAGGCAGGCAGAGCCAGCTAGATCCAATGGGGCTTGGTATGATCCCTTTTCCATACATGGCATGGGGCTCACTGAAGGATTTAAGCATGGAAGTGTCACCATCAAATTTAGAAAGATCATAGCAATTTGTATCAAGGGCCTTGAAATACACGTGTTCCTTGCCCCAGCAATTATCCCCTAGGAGTTTATCCTAAGGAAATAAGTAAGAAAATATACAAAGCTTTTTCTTAACCATCATTAACACTAACCTTTACTGACGACTATGTGTAGAAGCCTCCTAAGCAGTTTGCATGTGTAATCTCATTTAATCTGTACATGAATATAGGAAAAGTCTGAAATATCCTAAGTTTCTAAATAGGAGACTTGATTCACTTAGGACCCAGCCCATCCATACAATGGATCACTACTGAACATCATATTAATAACCAGCATTTATTGAGCATTTGCATTTGTTATTGACCAGGCACTGTGCTATCTTTTCATGAAAATAAATCATTATTGCATAGCAGTTAAAAACTGCTAGACAGACCTGGGTTCAAATTCTCTCTCAGCTCTCACTAAGCCTAAATTTTCTAAGCTATAACACAGCACCCACCTTACTGATTTATGAGGATGGAATTAAACTATCCTTATGAAGAGTGCTTGGCACAGCGCTATCCCTGGATCTCAGAGTGTTTCTGGAGAAAACACTCTTCAAATTCTTATTCTATCTTCAAATGAGCACGTGACTAGAAAGCTTTTACTGTTCCTGTCCTAGCTCTGTTGCTACTCAAACCTCAGGCTCCTATTCAATTTCACAGAACCCTGGCTTTTCCTATACTGAGCCTCACAGTAGTGAGTTCCAAGGGCAGCAGGGTGCTGGGGTAGAAAGCATTCCATGCCTGGACTTAGCAGCCTGGGCAGATTGCTGAAGCTGACACTTGACCCCCAGTTGTTTAACACCGACTTCACAGAGCAGTTGTAAATAGTGAGACAATTAACATAAAGCATTTCTCTTACAGCCTGTTCAATAAATGAAGCTCCTCTCCTTTCTTCTGCCCATCCCGAACCCATTAATCCTACCATTCAAATATTTCCAAGTACCTGCTTTGCTAGGCAGCAGGGGATGTGATGTCAACAAATGTCTGTGTCTTCAGGGCTTTACCTTAGTGTCAGACCTGTGTTCTACTTTCTTTTCCACTACTGTTCCCTCCTCCAGAACCCGCTCCCTGTATCACCCAGTCTTTGTCCAGCATTTCCCATCTCTCCAGAACCTTCTTCTCATATGTTTTAACAGATACAACCTCCTCTAACTGAAACTACTTCACTGAATCCCAAGGCCTCTCTCTAGCAAAAGTTCTCATTTAGGTTCTCCTTTCATGACCAAACTACTGGGATGAGTAATACATACCTATCCACTCCATGTCCTCACCACCTACTCTTCTTGAATTTGTTATGCTGCTCTTGCCATCCCTCACACACCCTGAAACTACACACTTGTAAATTACCAATGCATTTCGATGTCTAATTCCAATAGTCCTTTTCTCCCTACCTTTATTTCTCTGCAGCTTTTGACTGTTTGGACAAGTTTCTGCTTCAAGTAGTTGCTGTGGCTGCTATGATACTGCATTAGCCTGACTTCCTTCCTCCCACCAACACTGTCACCTCCTATGACTGTTTTTCTCAGTCTTGCCCTGGGAACACAGATGTTGCCCAAGGCTCAGTCCTTGTACAATATTCTTCTTGCTATCCCTCTGAAAGTCCGCTCACACCTGGCACTCCATTTGCCAACTCTACAGAGATGGTTCCCTAGCCTAGTCCCAATTCCTCCTGCAAACTCCTTCAAACCTTGCATTCCCAAGTGACTGCAATTTGGAATGAGGCATTCTTCCAGCATCTCAAAACCGTGTTCCCCTCTGCAACTCACCACATCAACTCGTCTCCCTGGTTTTTCATTTCTATCAGATGTTCTAGTGTCCTCTCAGGTGCACCAAATTCAAAGTCCTACCTTGCTCACTTCCCCCCAAACCTACTTAGTCACCAAGTCCTTTTGACTCTTCTTTTGTAGTGTCATTTGTATCTTACCCTACCACTGACACCATCATAATGGAGGTCTATAACCTGCTTCAGGACTACTATCACTGCCAACCATTCCTAACTGGTTCCTTACCACTAGTCTCTCCCTTTCTCTAGTCCTGGATAATGGTCTCTAGAATAATGGTCCCCAAATAATTTTATTCTGGTCAGTCCCCAGATTAGACCCATACAATCCATCCTGTCTATGTGTCTTGTCCTGATCCTCTACGCAACTTCTTCCATGAAGATACCCCATCACTTATGCTGAGGCCCAAGTCAGGGAGCTAAAGGAGACAACTTGAGGTGGTTTCTGAGAAAGGGGGTGGGACTGGAGAGAGCGGCAACCTAGATTTAGTGTCGATTCCACTCATGCTTATTAAGCATCTGTTATGGAAAGAAAGAACCGGAGGAGCAAAGTTAATATAACTTTGTGGCCAATTATCTGGACCTTCTTGCAATTTGGTCTCTGGCTCTGCTTGAGTGACTAAGCAGCTTTGCAGTTTGAACTGTCTACATGACAAACTGCACACTCAGTTTTGTCCGTTTAATGATTACTTGTTTTGTTTTACAAGCTCCAAGGGAAACCGAGGCAATGGTCCCTGTCTTGTGACATGTCCTACTATCGATGTGGCGTGACTCCTAACTCTACCTGCTGACCATGAATTAATGGAAGCTAGAAAGCTCGGTTGCTCTAAGTAATCGTAAAATGTATAACGTATACTTGTGGCTTTGCGTCCTGTACAGCCAATCTCCTCAAAGGTCCGCTTCTTGAGGATTGTGCCTTTAAGACCTCTGCTCCAACTCCCCCGCGGTTTATCTCGGAGGCTCTGTCTCCTTGGCCTGCAAACCATTTCTGAACAACAATCACTCTTTCGTCTTTCAGAAAGCTCTCCTGGAGTTTTTGTTGACAGGAGGGAGGCTCCAAACTTCCGACCTGAAAGCTGGGGTCGGACCCACTAGCAGGTGCACCTGAAAGACCACTTGGAACAGTGCCCGCATCCACGGGACAAACGCACACGCGGGGGTCGGGGAGAGACAACTTTGCGTCCGCACCTCTCATGGGGCAGGGACGTCGCCACACACACACTCTGAGGCCGGCAGCGCCGCGTCACCCCGTTCTACTACAACAGCACCTCCCCCAAGTTCTCAGGGTCTCTTTCTCACAGCCGCTACGCTCACTCTGCATCTCGAAGACACAAACCCACAGCCCTCACCTCTGGCACAGAGAGCCCAGGACCCAGGAAGACCGCGCCTCTGCAGGTCGGAAAAGCTACGCGCCTGCGCAAAGGTATCTGACGCTTGCGCGTCCAATCAATGCTTGGCCTTCTCACGGACTGCATTTCCCAGAAGTCTCGACGGCCGTCGTGCTTTAATGATGTATAAAATCTGGGCAGGCGTGAGCTTCTGAGAAGGGGCTACTGAACCCTAAGGCCAGTGGGACCTGGATGGAAGTGCAGTCATCGCAGCCGGGAGATGGGACGGGTGTGGGTGCCTGAGAGGCTTGTGATCACCCTAGAAATACTGTCCACGTGTGATGTCGCGTCCCTCCAGTCCTCCGGTGGGAGATGTGTCTTTTCCGATCCTTGGGGCTGTCCCTACCGGGAAGACCGAGAACCATGAGTTTTCTGGAGCTGTATAGGGGCGTGTTTCTGCTTCAGCTTCTCCACGTTCAGGAATTTGGTTCTGAAATTCGGGCTAGAGAGACGCAGGACTTGGTTCTGAGGACGGGGCTAGGCCTGAGGCAGGGTATGTGCACATTTTTGCCCCGGAAGAAAAGAGCCCAGGATGTACGTGTCTTGTAACCCGATAGCTTCCTGGCTCCCATCCTCTTGAGCACACACCACCTTGCCTGCCGAGGTCTGCTGCAAGGGCCCTGGTTGGAGACGTCGCAGGGCTTCTGAACTTTGGCTGCGTTAGGAAGTCACCTGAGGAGCGGTCGACATACCTATTGATGCCTGGGGCCCACCCAGGAGTGAGTCTGAAAAGATCTGCGGATGATTCTATGTGCAGCAGCCAAAGCTGAGAACCACTGAGCCAGAGCTTTGGGGAAGGCTGGCGATCACACGAAGGATATATAATCTTCCTTCAGAAACAAGCCTACATTTTAACTCAAATTCAGATAGAGATTAGCATTGTTCCATCTTTGCCGTGGTTTGGCGAGTGTGTACGTAAAAATAATCGCTGTTTTATTTTGTAGTGTGACCATGGCTTCTCGTGCCAACTGCTCAAAGTCAGGCCAGACTCCACAGATTAAGGACACATACCTAACCAGGCTGCTCTCATTTCAGAACAAGCCATAATTTGGGGTCTCTAGGCCACCTGACCAGCTGGCTACAAGTGTAGGAGCCCCTGCTACTCTCTCAGGTCTTTAGAACAGCTCTCAGAACTCAGGAAAGCACTATAATTTTATTATAGCAAAAAGAAAAATCAAACCAGCCTAAGGAAGAGACACACAGGGTAAGGTATGGGAGCATCCCAAACATGAGGCTTCCATCTTCCCTAGTAACACACAACTCTGCTGGCACACTGACGTGTAGCACTGAAGAACTGACTGCTGTACTTGCTGTTGACAGTACCTGATAAGGTCTCATAACAATGAGGTTCAAGAGCAGTTTTTCTCTGATATCTCTTCTAATAGACAAAACTTCATGGTTGAAGATCGCAGAGAGGCTGTATAGGAGACGCTGTGGAAGGTGGCCTTGACCTGCTGATGACAGCTCTGGTTACAGTACATGAATCTCTGGCAATATTTTGCATGTCTCCATGCAGTGGGGTAGAGTCCAGTCTCAAAAGTGAAATCAACCTCTAAATAAATGGGCCTTCCACTATTGGTTCTTAGAGAGATGACTGATTTATTAAGGGAGTGAACCATATGGCCATAAGGGCTCCTGGGAGTTAAAGAGTTTCGTAAAGTTTTGCTAATTTTAAGTTAAGGATGCCATTGGTTCTTTCAACCACCTTTCCAGAATATTGTGGGTGGTAGGGGCAACATAGTTTTTGAGTAAGGGAAACTGCCTTATGGAGTTGTTCCTAGGATGGTTCTGCCATGGTTCCTAGGATGTGTCTGCCCAGGTTAGAAACACAAGTCAAGCAGCTTCTAGTGACTGCAAGGACTAGAGCTTTCCACCAATGAAATGCTTCAACCCTCCTTGAAAATAGTCATATAGTAACTGAAACATGCTCAAACCTCATGAAGGGTGGCAACTGGACAAGATCCATCGGAAGGTGTCCAAGAACCCTTGAGCCTTTGGTTCCTGGCCATGTCCTACCTTTCCATTTTTTTTCCAGGATTATGTTTACAGGAGAACACGACCTAGAAATAACCTGTTAAAAATCTGTCTTTTTAAAGTTTATTTAGCAATGTTAATTTAAAATAGGAACTGATTTGGAGCATGATAGGTAGTCCCTGGAAAATTTAGCTAATATTCATTTGCAATCATCTGGCGCCACCCAGCGGCCACCTTGGGAGCACCAGCAATGACCTGAGTGAAGGGTCCAGTGACTTGCATTTTCTGTTTGAGTCGGGGGCTAACCACTGACCCCTTATGATGGCCTCTTCGAATCCTTCCAGTTGGGGACCTCGCCTTAGTTAAGGCTGCTTGCTTGGCATAAGGATCACTCCCCTTGGCATTTCCTTCACTCCCCTCTTTCCTCTTTTGCGCAAGCCTCTGTCCTTATAACACCTCCCTTGGAAGCAGAGTGAGTCTGGGAGTCTGGGAGTTCCTTAGCTTGTAGTCTGTTTTACGGTCTGTGTGCATGCCTATTCCCTGGTCTCTGGTTAGTTGACAAACTATGTATAGTAAGAGCAGTAAGCTCTGCCATCTGGGCTGATTTTACCTCAGCTAGAGGACTATATTCTAAAGAGAACTTAAATTAGTATATCTTGCTTGATAGTCTCCAGTTTCATTCTGATATGATTCATCAACAACAAAAAAAATTAGTTCAGAGTTCCTAATTGGAGTCTCTAATAAACCTGAGCTTGGTATGGAAAGTTCCCTGATGGAGGTGAGATGGCCATGAGGTCCTTCTGCCGGGAGCAGGTGCGTGGCAGGGTTTGGGATGCAGAAGCAGAAATGAGAGCGGGAGAAAGTAACAGAGTATCATGAGATGTTAATTAGCTGGCTGAAAGTGTACAGCCATCTGTATTCACACATAACATGATCTTATATGCAGAAAATCCTAAAGATACACTGAAAACCTATAAGAACAAATGAGTTCAGCAAAGTTTCTGGATACAATCAGGTCAATATACAAAAATCAGTAATATTTCTATACATAAAAAATAATCAACAAATTGGACCTCATCAAAGTTAAAAACTTTTGCTTGGTGAAAGATCCTATTAAAAGAATGAAAAAAACAAGCTAAAGACTGGGAGGAAATATCTGCACACAACCTACCTGAAAATGTACTCACATCTATAATATATAAAGAACTCTCAAAACAACAGTGAAAGAAAGCAACAATCTAGCTAGAGTCTGAGCAACCGTTTCACCAAAGAGGAGACACAGGTGGTAAACAGGCACGTGAAAAGAAGTGCAACATCATCAGCTTTTAGGGAAAGGCAAATTGGAACCATGATGAGATATCATTACACTTCTATTAGAATAGCTAGAAAAATTTTAAGTGACAACACCAAGTGCTGGTGAGGATGCAGAGGAACCAACCTCTCACACATCACTGGTGGGAATATAAAACAGTATGGCCACTTTAAAAAAGACTTTGGCAGTTTCTTAAAATACTAAACATACATTTACAATACAGCCTGGCAATCTCACTGCCTGGCTTTCATCCCAGAGAAATTAAAGCATTTGCGCACGCAAAACATGTGCACAATGGGTGTGTACCCCGAAGTATTGAAAGCAGGGACTCAAAAAGATGTTTGTATCCCCACATTCATAGCAGCATCATTCACAATTGCCAAAAGGTCTATTGGCGGATGAATAGATAATAATGTGTATACAGATATGACGGAACATCAGCCAGCCTTACCGAAGAAAGGACATTATGACGTAGGCTATGACACTGATGAAGCTTGAGGACACGATGCTGAAATAAGCCAGACACAACAGGATAAACACTGCACTGGAACCTTGAGGAACCTTGAGTCATCAAATTCACAGAAAGAGAGGGGAGGGTGGTGGGTGCAAGAACCAAGAAAGGAAGGGGAGCTGCTGCTTAACAGGTGCGGAGTTGCAGTTCTGCAAGATGAAAAGAGGTCTGCAGGTGGGTGGTGGTGATGGTCGCAGAATGACACGAAGATTCATAACACCTTTCTGTGCTGTGCACCTAAAAGCGGTAAAGATGCTACACGTTATGTGCATTTCATCACAAATGAAAAATTTTAAATGTCGAAAAATGTACGTTTGTTCGTAACGGCTTTGTTTGAAATAGCCAAAAATTGGAGATGAAGTAAATATCTGCCAGTGGGTGAAATAAAAAGGAAGAAACTACTGATGCTCACAACCCTGGGATGGACACCGGGCATTATGATGAGTGAAGGAGCCGGTCTCCAAAGGTCATACGCTGTGCGACCCACTTATATGACATTCTCAAAATGGCAAAATTAGAGATGGAGAACAGATCAGTGGTTGCCAAAGGTTAAGGATGGAGGAGAAGAGAGAGAAGGGGAATGAATGTGATGATAAAGGCGAAGCAGGAGGGGTGTTTGTGGCGACAGAGCAGCTCTGTATCTTGGTGTTGGTTACAGAATCTACACGTGTTAAAAACTACAGAATCTACACGTGTTGAAAACTACATGCACACACACAAATGCATGTGAAACAGATAAAATCTAAATAAACTGTGGACTGTACCAATGTCCACGCCCTGGTTTTGGTATTGTTCCACTGTTATATGTTACCATTGGGACAACTGGGTGAAGGGCACATGGGACCCTTCTGTACTATTTTTGCAACTTGCTATGAATCTCTATTTCGAAATAAAAAAAGTTAGAAACAAATAGCAAACCGACCGACCAAAACCTTAGGCTTGAACGTCGGCCAGCAAGCTCTCATGTGAGCTGGGCTGCCCATCGTGAACCAGTTGCTGTCTGCCCACCAGGCCATGAAGCTGGGTGCGCAGCAGCACCCTATCAAGTGGAAGCAGTGTACATGGGGTTGGATGCAAGCAGACCCTGAAAGCACAGGTGACTGTGTGACTTCCTCATGACCGTGACCGCCACTTCTGCTACACTATCTTCCCTCTCAACCCCACCCACAGCTCCATGGGAAGTTCCTATGACCAGGTGCCTGAAGAAGAAAATGCTTAGGCTCTGCTTGATATGCAAGCGCCCCCTGAAAGTAGACAGTGGTGAGGGGAAACCCTCTTAGTGGAACAGCTTTTCGAAGACCAGGTCATGGTGCTGGGTTGATAGCGACATCTTGTGTGCTGGGGGAGTATCCTCCAGGATATGGTGTATCTCCATTCCAAATCAGCATCCTGTATGGGCTATTTCCCCCATAGCTAGGATTTTACAGGTTGTTATCAAGGCCTTGGGATGGGAGCAGCTCCTCTCACTGTTACCTCTAGTGATCAGCTGGCAAAATTTTTGCTTCCTGTCTCTGTGACTTTAGACTGTGCTTATCTAGAGATCTAAGTTCCAGCGGGAAAAACGCTTCTATCAGGTGACACAATAATGACTCCATTCAACTGGAAGTTGATACTGCCACCTGGCCACTTTTGACTCCTCACGCCACAGAAACAAAAAAGGGTTTCTGGTTGGGGTGACTGGTCCTATCCAGGGGAAATTGGGTTGCTGCGACGGTGAGGAAGAAGTGTGTGTGGGGTACAAGAGGTCCCCAGGACATCGTTCATTACTCCCAAGTCCTGTGACTGGAGTCAGGGGGAAACTACAACCCAGTTCAGTCATGACTTATAATGATCCATACCCTTCAGGAAGGACAGTTTCAGTCAACCCACCAGTAAGGAGCCATGACCAGTTGAGGTGCTTGCTGACGGCAAGGGGAACATGCAATGGATAGAAGATATTCGCACTAGCTGTGACCACGTAACCAGTCATAGAAATGAGACTGTTATAAGTATTTCCTCGTTTTGATGTTTGTATAAAATTAACAAAATATTTTACTTTCCTTCTCTTATCCCCTTAACATACGATATACTGTTGATAGTTAATTTTGTCTCAGTATTTAAATTATAGGATCTAAAAGGGGAGTACGAATCGGCTAGAGTAAGAATCATTACGCAAGAACAAAAAAGTCCTTTTATCTTCTTTTTGGGAAAAAATTTTTGTTTTTGGCTGGCCACAGGATAGTTGTATCAGGTTTGGCAGAAGCATGACTCTTTTCTTTACTTGGAGACTAAGTATGGTTTAAGGAAGTGTATATGGGTGCCAAATTGACAAAAGGTGAACTGTGATGGCTGACATACGTCAACTTGGCTAGGCTGAACTACATGTCTTCACACAGGGGCTGGATACCAAGAAGATGAAAGTGGAAGCTGCCAGTCGTCTTTAAGCCTTGGCCAGATGTCCCCACTTCATTCCAATGCAGTCTTCATTTCTTTGCCCCCTTTCCCTCTCTCTTCACTTTCTGACACTCTCTTTACTTGTATGTTGGAATGCCTGACATTGTCCCACAGGCCTTTGAGGCTCTGTTAAGTCTTTCTTCAACATTTTTTTCTCTGTTCTTTGGGTGATTTATCTTCAAAGTAACTGGTTTTCTCTTCTAACTCCTCATGTGATGAGGCCTTCCACTACTTTCAGTGATCAAAGCAGATGACAGGCCAGCCCATATACATGGGAAGGGAAATAAATACTACTAGATAGAAGGAATGACACGAAAGTACAGGCAGAGAAGGAACTGTTGAGGGTCATCTTTGCAGGCACCCTACCGCACATGAATCATTTAATTATGCAGCAATCCTCCCTCCCCAACCACTGTGTGAGTGCCTGTTACTTAGACCCCAGCCAGCACTGGGTGTGATCAATCTCTTTCCTTTTAACCGAAACCGTTTAATATGTTAAGTCTATTTTAAATGAGATGCATCATGAAACAGATAAGAATAAAACAGGTTTACTTCAGCAAAGAAAAAGGAAAAACAGGGACATATGAAGCAACTATACCAATCTTGATCATCTTTGACTCGTTTGACACTATTTTTGCTTTTCCGTACGTTTGAACATTTTTATACGAAGTTTGAAAACTGGAGGTCTGTCTGAGAAGGATCCCTAGCTCCCTACTAGACGTCCGCGTCTGTGTCCTGTGCGTACTTGGGTCACCCCGGCAGGCCCAGAGGAAGCCAAGCTCGGGTGAGTAAAAATGTAGCCCAGACCTGGGGCCCACGTGTGCGGCCAAACCTCGGCATCAGAATAAAGCCAAGGACCCTCAGAGCGCTACTGGAGTGGGTGTGAACACCTCCCCACACTCCCTGTCTGCCATACTCGTTCCATGAACCTTCACTCACACCCACTCGGCGGCGTCTGCATCTCGCCCACCTGGACCGAGGGACCCCGGCAACAACACTGAGCGGCAGCAGGAGCTGACCCGCCCGCGCCGGTCGCTCAGGAGGCCCAGATAGCCCCACCCGCTCTCGCGAGAGGACGCCGTGAGCGAGCCCTAGCCCCGCCTTCGGGTCCTCACGCGAGGACCCTGCGGGGCTGTCCGCAGCTGCGCCGATCTTATTCCGCCTCGTTGCTCGTCCCGGCAATCTCTCACCCCCGGCTGCGCTGCGGCGCAGTCGTGTGGCCTCGGGAATCCAGCTGCCGGCTGAGGCTTCCGTGCGATGAAGGGCAGTCGCGGCAGGCGGTGAGGAGGGCTGCGCAGACGAGAGGCTCTGGCGGCTCCACCATGGCGGTGGCGGTGCGCGCGGCGAGTTGCCTACCTGCGCTGTGCGGTGCGCCCGCGGGTGAGAGCCGGGACGCGGGGCGGGGGCTGCAAGCGGGGCCGGGGCGGGGACAGGGGGCTCGCCCGGGCGGAGGGAAGCGGGGCCCCTCACGCTGGCCTCCGTCCCGCCCAGACCCTCCGTGTGACCTTGCTCTCTTCCGCGCCCTCTCTGGGTCGCACGGTCCCACTGAAAAGTGAGAATGAACTGGAAGTTGTCTCAGGTCCCTTCTGGTTCACCGGACCGCTCGTACGTGCTTGGCAGAGAGGGGCCGGGAACCGCAAGCGAGCGTCACCCTCCTATCGGGTCGCCCACAGTTCATTCGGTGATATCCGGCGAGGTTCGAGGTGGAGGGCGGCCAGCAAAGCTTAAGGGAGAGAGGTCGTCCTGCAGCTCGAGTCTATAGGGTTAGTAGCGGTCGTGTTAGAGTCTGGGCTGGTCAGTGCCATTACGAAAAAGAGGGATGTTTCGGATGTCGGTTTTGCTATCATGATCCTCCCTTGGTTGTTTGCAGCTGGAGGAAGCAGTCCGCTCTCATCCAGCAGTGAGTACATGAGAGTTCTTATTTCTCTCCACATACTCTCCAGCGTTTGTCGTCTGTCCTTTTGATTGTAGTCGTTCTAGTGGGTGTGAAGTGGCATCACTCTGCAGTTTTAATTTACATTTCTCTGATGGCTAATGAGCATCTTGTATTGGTCACTTATATATGTTCTTTGGAGAAGTGTCTATTTAAATCTTTGCCCATTTTTAAATTGGGCTGCCTTTTTATTAATGAATTGTAAGAGTTCTTTATATTTTCTAGATACGAGTTCCTAGTCAGATACGTGATTTGCAAAAAAATTTTCCTATTGTGTTGTCTTTTCACTTTCTTCATAGAGCCCTTTGAAGCACATAAGTTTTAAATTTTGATAAAGTCTGATTTACCTACTTTTTGTTTTTGTTGTTTATGCTATTAGTGTCATATCTAAGAAACCATAGCCAAATCCAAAGTCAGAAAGATTTGTCCTTACTTTTTCTCCTAAGAGTTTTGTAATGTTTGCTATTACCTTTAGGTTTCTGATCCATTTTGAGTTAATTTTATGTATGATGCGAAGTAGGGCTCCGACTTCATTCTTTTGCATGTAGATATTCTATTGTCCCAGCACCATTTGTTGGAAAGATTCTCTCCGCATTGATTTGCCTTGGCACTATTTTCAGAAGTCGGTGCCATCGAGTGCTGTCAGCCTATTGTGAAGCATGATGCTGTGTGGAGTAGTACATGGTACAGTGATGGCCTGTTGCTGTGGGGGCTCCGGAGGGGAGGGGAGCACAGTGCCGAGGGAACATTGCAGGAATTGGGGGCTTCACCCAGAGGTGCTGTTTCAGACAAACTGGAGAACATGTCTGAGACACAGGATGCAAGGGCAGAGTGTCTTCAAGACTAAGAGCCTGGCGTGGTCAGAGGGATTGTGGAGGGAGGTGAGGCTGATGTGGGAGGTTGGGGCCAGGTTGCTGGCCTGGAGGCTCTGCTGAAGGGTTTTGACTTTGTTTTGCAGCCAGTAGGGAGCCAAAGAATGATATATCAGGACTGTAACATGATCAGACCTGTTATTTTAGAAATAGCAGGTGGTGAATGAGAGGGAGCAAACCAGAGGCAGTGAGACCTGGTAGGAGACTGTTGTTACCATGTGGCTGAGAGATGGTGAGGCCTGAACAAAAGAGAGGCAGCGAGATCATAGGACACAGCTGGCAGGTGCATCGATTTTTGAGGAGGATCTATAGGGCTTGGTAACTGGTTAGATGTGAGAGTGAAGGAGACGTGATGTGATATCACTTACTTGGTCAAGTGGTCATGGAGCCCCAAAATCACTCAAATACTTGTTTTGGTTATTTTATTCTACAGATATTAATTTTAGTATGGGTGTTACTGTTTTAAAAGTTCTTTTTCATGTAGAGTTGTATATTTAATTTTTTTTACTTTACAGGTCATTTATGGTCCAGGCAGCTTTACCTACACACCTCCACAGCAGCTTCCGCTTTGGTGCTGAAGACTGTTCTCAGCAATTGTGAGATTGATTCATTTATCTGTCTTTTCTTATAAGACCTAATGTTACTCTATGTAGTTTTTAGAAATGTAAATGAACTTAAACTTCTTCTTTATGATGGAAATGCATAGGGTCTAAAGAGTACTTTTCAAATTTTTTATGATTGTAGTTGTAATTGAAGGCTTTAAATAGCTAATTTATTGAGTGATTACTGTATGTCAGACTTGGAGCATGTTGTTACCTTGGCTAATCATCATACCATGTTAATGAGGGGGCTGTTATTTCTATTTTACAGATGACAAAGTGAGTCTCAGAGGCTAGGTGACTTGCTCAAAGTCACACAGGCAGTAAATGGCAGGACTGGGTCCTGAGTCATTGGTACTGTCACACCTCCTCCTGATAGTCTCTGTGGAGGCCTGTGCTCTGACACCGCAAAGGGCAGGGCCCGCTCCTCAGTCACTCTCCAGAAAGGGAGATGACCATCCCTTGCTGAGCCCACATTGTGCCTGTGGCCAATTAAATCCTGCCTTTTCCACGTGGACTCTGCTTCGGGCAGACTCAAACTCTCATTGTGTCCTTGAGTTTCTGGAACTCTGTGTGTGAGCCTCGCTCTTAGTGTTGGCCCCACCTGCGAGATGCTGGAACACTTGGCTGGAGAGGTCCAGCAGGGGGTCTAGTGGCCTGGGGCCTGCCCTTTACTTGTTTATTTGTTGGTTAGTGACTCATTCATCCATAATCTACTTACTCTGCCCTTTACTACAGGGTGTCCCTGACCCGCGCTGGTATAGGCAGGGCCAGGGAGAAGCCCTCTTGGCTGAGGGGTTGGCCTCGCTGAAGGGCCTGGGTCGGGGTGTGCTGGCTGGCCCAGTGACTGAACAGTTCTCAGCTCCACCACTTCCTGCCTTTGCAACCATGGGCAAATGTCACCCCTCAGACCCTCAGTTTCCTCGTCTATAAAATGAGGACAGTAGTACTTGCTTTGAAGATTGTTGTACTATTTTTTAAAAATATTGTGCTTCCACAGAGCCCTAAAAGGTTTATGTCTTGAAAGCAGGTCCCTTTCCTACCCCTTCCCATCTTCCAGTGTTGTTGCTGTCAATTAAATCCTGCCTTTTCCACGTGGACTCTGCTTCGGGCAGACTCAAACTCTCATTGTGTCCTTGAGTTTCTGGAACTGTGTGTGAGCCTCGCTCTTAGTGTTGGCCCCACCTGCGAGATGCTGGAACACTTGGCTGGAGAGGTCCAGCAGGGGGTCTAGTGGCCTGGGGCCTGCCCTTTACTTGTTTATTTGTTGGTTAGTGACTCATTCATCCATAATCTACTTACTCTGCCCTTTACTACAGGGTGTCCCTGACCCGCGCTGGTATAGGCAGGGCCAGGGAGAAGCCCTCTTGGCTGAGGGGTTGGCCTCGCTGAAGGGCCTGGGTCGGGGTGTGCTGGCTGGCCCAGTGACTGAACAGTTCTCAGCTCCACCACTTCCTGCCTTTGCAACCATGGGCAAATGTCACCCCTCAGACCCTCAGTTTCCTCGTCTATAAAATGAGGACAGTAGTACTTGCTTTGAAGATTGTTGTACTATTTTTTAAAAATATTGTGCTTCCACAGAGCCCTAAAAGGTTTATGTCTTGAAAGCAGGTCCCTTTCCTACCCCTTCCCATCTTCCAGTGACACCTTCAGTTCTCTCAGCTTTCTTCTGCTTATGTTTCTAAGTAGATCGTGTATATCGTTTTTCCCTGTTATCTTTGTTATGCTGATTGCAGAGCTACTCTTACACCACGTACCCTGCTTTTTCCCACACAGGGGACCACACAGTTTGATGGACACTGTGGGCAGTGTCTTAATCATAAATGTTATGTGGTATTCTGTCATTATATTTCCTCTACAATGTTTTCTTTCTCCTGCAGTTAAATATTGCCTCATTTTTAAAAAGTTACTCTGTTTTCTTTGCACCTAGTGCTATATTTTTCTAAATGCTGCAACAAACTGGTCAGAAATATCGCAATAATTTTTATAAAATCTCTCAAATATCACTAGTTAACCAGTTTGATTTAATAGAAAAGACTTAAATTAGAAGGAAGAAATTCTTCCTGGTGAAAACTGGCAGACACTAAAGTGAGACCTTCAGGCACAGGCTGTGTCTTTGAAGAGGTCCACTCTCGGGCTCCTGGGCTTGGCCCCCTGTGGACTCCATGGCGACTGTTTCCTGACACTGGGTGTCATGGGCTGAAGTAATAAGAATTCAAAAGGATCGGGGCAAAAGGGACCACTGATAGTGGTGGGTAATCTTTGATAGCTTCAACATGTGACTTATCACGAGTTACTGCCATTTCTTGTTTTAAAATCACAGCACAATTAAAGTAAACTCAGTTGTAGCAACAGTGTATTAGAAGAGATGATTCCTAAACTCTGAAGTCCATTTTTTTTTATTTTTGACAAGTGGACCTTTTAGGCTAAATACATTATTAGCTATGAATAGTATTTTGGTCTTTTGAAAAAGATTACAGAATTCCAAATCTGATGGTAGTGATTTTTACATGCTTGAAGTTTATCAAAGTTTGCAATATAGTACAAGATAAAAATTCATGTGTACTTGAAATTTTGTTGAAGACCAAGGGTTACAAGAAAAGCTGAAATGTGTCCAACAGCATGGGGTTGGGAACGATCATTGAAGCCCCGAATTTATTTAAAATGAAAAGCTAGTATCTTGTTTACTATTTATTGAATAATTCACTAAGTGAGCTACCTCACTGTGTTGTCTGGGCCAGTCTCCACCTACTTCCATGCCTATTAGTAAGTCACCAAACTGGAGTTGGTATTTAAATTTCATCTACTGACTAGTGTTGTGACTTTTGACAAGTCCCTAATCTTGTAGGCCCAAGACTCTTGTGAAACAAAGGGCTTGGATTAAATGATCTCCTTTTTCCATGTTTATATAGCTAATGGCTTAGCTATCGTAGCCATTTAGAATCAGTTTGTTCCTTATGTTCAACCAGATTCTTTCTTGTTGCTACTTGAGATCATCTGGTGCTTGGCCCTCTGTGGTGATGAAGCTATTGTCACCGTATTCTTCTTCATACTTTCTCAGAGACTGGAGGATAGCTGCTGTCACTCTTTGGCTTTCTGTTTGTCAAGCCTGGAACCCTTAACCAACCCTTTTTCTCTCTAGGGGTTTTAACCCCCTCCTCACCTCTCTGGCAGTCACTAGATTCTCTGCCTAAAGGCATAGCTCAAACATGTGCAGTCCGTTTCTCTAATCAGGGTTTTCTTTCCCACAAGGCCACTGATCCCTTATAGGACACCCCATCCAGGGCAAGGATAAAATGGCTGCCTCTAAAACATGGCTCTTTGAAAACACTTTTTAAAGAGATACATACTATTTAAAAAAAATTCCCCCCAAATCCACAAAAAAGCAAATCTGTCACATCCAGCCTCAGATGCATCTGTCCTCCCCAGAAGCGACCACCGTTGCCAGTTCTGGCATGTGCTTCTGGAGTTAGTCTGTATAGTGTATTCGCACCGTACAAGGGCAGCGCACCCCGTGCTTCCAGCTAGGTCATGGGCAGGTCTGCTTTCCACCGGTCTTCCCACTGCTCGGTCGCTCACAGTGGAGGCTGTGTGGCCTGGAGGAGACAGGGGCATGAGATCCTGTCCTGCAGCACGGTGGCTCCTGTGTGGACAGGTTCACCTCCTTTGTGAGAAAGCGCCACCCATCGTGTGGATGAACTGCACCTTCTCTAACTGGAATGGCCACTTAGGTTATCAGTCCAAAGTTTTGTTTTTATTTTAGAAGAAATACTGTTCTCAAAACCTGATTCTTAAAGTTTAGTAACTTAGTGACTTAATTTTTTCAGGAACGATTAATTGTTTGATGCTGGCAGTGTTTCTGCACAGCCATGGAGCAAATAACTCAGGGTTTTGTTCCATCTCCCTCCAGGCCCTTTGTCATCTCCAGGAACCACTGACACTCGCCATTTCAGCAGCTTGACCCATGTGCAGCAGACACAGGGCTGGGCTGCTTCGCTCAGCAATTCAGTGGGCCAGTGGTACAGACCCTACAGTTTCTTCACTAAACGTACGTAGACTGGCCACCAGCTTCCTGTTTCATGAAGTGAGAGAATAAAAGGTGCTTTGTATCTTCATTGTTCTTCTTTTTCTTCTTTTTCCTTAATTAAATTAATTTTAACACTCAGGTGATTAGTTGTGATATACTAGTAAAGTAAAATTGTTCCTTCATGTAGCTTGTAGAATTACCTCACGTGCTATCAGCCATATTTGTTTGTACTTTGGGGACCACTAGTTTGCTTTAGTCCTAACCCCCATTTGGGGCACCTGAGGTCTATAATCATGTGATATACGCAAAGAAGAATTTAATTTTGCTTTCACTGCTATAGTGGTCAAGTGAAGCTGGTGTCTTCTGGCCTTTTTTATTCAGTGGATCATAGATCATTTCTTGAAAGTTAAAAAAAAAAACAATCTTTCATTACAGTGACAGCAGCTGAGCTGTGGAAAGGTGCTTTGGCAGAGACTGGTGCTGGAGCAAGGAAGGGAAGAGGCAAGAGAACTAAGAAAAAGAGAAGAAAGGATTTGAACAGGGGTCAGATCATTGGTGAAGGTAAACTTATTAAAACAGCTAATGTGCTTTTTAGGTTTTATTTTCCAAATTTTATAGGTATTTTCACAATCTAGAAGCATCAAAACATTTCTCTTGAAGGGTGCTGGGGTCTGCAGCTTACTTATGGCCCCATGATTCTGGGAGAGGAAAATTCCATGGAAATGAATTCATTCATTCATTCATTCATTCAGTCAGTCAATAAGCCTTCTATGCCTGGTGTGGTATCTGCTGTGACAGTCCCCACCCTCAATAAACTTACAAGACAGTGATAGAAGATAAGTAGAGGGTTGGCAACTCTCTGCAGTGGTTCCAGCTTTGTGAGCCACGCAGTTTGGTTACAACCATTCAACTGTTTTGTGTTGTTGAGGCACAAAAACAGTCATAGACAATACATAATCAAATTGACATACCTTGTTCCAATAAAACTTTATTTACAGAAATAAGTGGTGGGCTGGATTTGGCCCATGGCCCTTAGTTTGCCTACCCTGGGAACACGTTGTTTATGCTTGTGTTTTTTGAAGAGTAGAAATTGTATGGTGTCCTCTACTTGACACTTTGTGTTGTGGTTGCTGACAATGTTTGTGGTAGTAGTAGCCTTTCAGGCATGAAGAAAACACCTTCACTGTCCTGCTTACCGTCTTTCTGCCTGGATGTTTTTCTCTGTGACTTACCTTGTATTTTATCTTACTTTTTAACATTTAGAAAAAATATAATAATCACATGTATATACTTCTCAGTAACAAATTCAGACTAGGAGAAACGCGAGCTCTCCCGATGCCCTTTCCATCTCCCCTACCCCAGCTGCCACCCCCAAGGAAACCGCTCATCTCATTCTGGTGTGTTGCCTTCTGACATTTTTTTGATGCTTTTTTGTACATAAAAACCCTGAAAGAAATATATTTTTTCTTCTTTTTAAAAGTAATTATGTTAGATTATGTGGTACATACTGTCTTATCATGTACCTTTTCCACTCGATGATAGGTCTTGGAAATTGTTCCATGTCAGCACCTATAGTGCTGCCTCGTTCTTTCAGTTCAGTGCGGACGCTTTCGTAGGTTGGATGTGCCATGGTTTGTTGAGGTGCTCTGGTGGACGTCCTCGTCCATGTACATGTACGCCTTATACCTGTGCAGGAGTGTTTCTGTCAGTAGCACCGTGAAGTAGAATTAGTAGCCGTTAGGGGAGGTGCATTGAAAATTTTTATGGACATGCCAATGGCCCGCCAGGTGACTGTGTGAGTTTATACTCCTATAAGCAGTGTCGTCTGTATACCCATTGCCTGGTATTTTATCACTCAAGAAATGAATGACTTTTAAAAATTCTTCTTCATGTGTGTTTTTAAACCTTCAGGGCGTAGTGGCTTCCTTTGGCCTGGTCTGAATGTCCCTCTTATGAGAGATGGAGCTGTGCAGGCCATTGCCCAGAGAAGCAAGGAGGAGCAGGAGAAAGTAGAGGCTGACATGATCCAGCAGAGGGACGAGTGGGACCGGAAGAAGAAGATGAAGGTTAAACGAGAGCGTGGCTGGAGTGGAAACACGTGGGGTGGTGTCAGTCTTGGCCCCCCCGACCCCGGCCCCAATGGAGGTAGCAGAGTCCTGCTTTGCTGGCCTTTATGACAGAGGGACCCTTTGTGTCGGGTTCCTCATTGTGATCTTACTTACCTGTTCAGGCTGCTTTTCTACAAAGAATGATTTGAGCATCACTGAAGTGACTTCACATGGTTATCCAGGTGTATTTTATAGAGCATGAGAGGCCTGTAGCCAAGAGGCACTTCAGTGCCAATCCTGGGTTCTGGTGCCGTCATTATGCGGCTTCTCAGCTGTGCTGGCATATGTCAGGGGTCTGTCTGCACAAGCAGCTACCCAAATGTGGGTCTCGAGTCCTGTGGGGGCACGGTGTGTGCTGCTGGTTCCATCATAGCACAAAGTAGGTAGTGACCATCAGCCTCATGGGAGCATGCGTGGAAGCAAAATGGTGGTACTTAGTAGGTCAAATTAGAAAACAAAGTTCTCTGCCCCCTGAGCCCCCCGAGCATGTAGGGAAGTGAAAATCATCCAGAAAATTCCTTCTTGAGGAGGCGGGGGAAGAAATAGACAAGGGTTGGGCAGCTTTCTTAAGTTTGGCTAAAAGAACAGGGCGGGGGCTGAGATGGAGAGACCCAGACAGACCTGCTTATTACTGAACAAGATGCTTCAGTGGGAGGAGGGAGAGGTAGGAGGGAGGGGAACCGACCTGCCAAGGCCCTGGTGAGAGCCGAGGACTAGAGTGTAGATGAAAAGATTAGCTGGTGACAGATTCAGATGAGCCTGTGATATTGGCAGTGAAAGTGTAGGGGGCAGGCGTGTGAGTGGCATCTGCCTGGTTCCATCATAGCGCCTGGTGGCTCCACTTCTCTGGAGGAGAAGTGGGTGGTCATCTGCTGAAAGGAGGATGGGGTACTGGTGAGCATGGCCACCAGAATATTTTGATAGGCAGTGGAGTATTGGACTGGCTTTGCATTATCCAGTGGACTGGACTGGACAGCTTAGAGGAGAGAGACTGACCATGAGTTGATAGTTGTTGGAACTGGCTAAGGGGCACATTAGCTGTCATTCTGCTGTTCTGTGACGGAAATTTTCTATCGTAAAACGTTAATAAAAGAGCACAACATGTTTGAAGTGGTGCTGTGGTGAGTAGAAAGAGGCCTGACTAAAAGGACATAAAGGCTGACAGGCAGCGGGCAGCACGCAATTGAGTTGGAGCCCATGGATGTTTGTTGGCCCTTGTGTGCACTGTGCTTTGCTTCTCTCCTCCGTGGCCGAATGGCTGCATTTGCTCAGGCCTGGTCACTGGTGGAGAGAAGAGCATGAGGGAGCTGAGGGCATTCCCGGGATTTGGTGCGGACGGCGGACTGGTGTCTTGGAGTGGGCAGGCTGTGCAGACCAGATCCATTTGGCGATGGTGATGGACCAGGGCATGGCCTGGGAGGTGGCGCCGGACAACGCGAGGTTCTTTCTCACTTGAATGTCACTGACGGTGACTGTTGAAAACACTTTTGTGCACTGTGTAGACACACTTGTCTGTACGCCTGTTTCTCAATGGTGATGGACCAGGGCGTGGCCTGGGAGGTGGCACCGGACAACGCGAGGTTCTTTCTCACTTGAATGTTACTGACGGTGCCTGTTGAAAACACTTTTGTGCACTAACTGTGTAGACACACTTGTCTGTACGCCTGTTTCTTTTCTCTCTACAGAAACCTATGATGACTTTGACACCAGGATACTTGAGGTAGGCATGTGGCTTCAGTATCCAGTGCGGCCTTTGGGGAGGTGGGGAGTTGGGGCGGGTGGCATGGGACTAGGCAAGAGGGACTGTGAGGGGTGAGGGAAAGCCCTGATGCCTGATTTTTCTGAGACACAGAGATAATTTGGGTAAGAAAAGAATGAAACTCGAATTTCAATCACTTGATAACGGCCTCACTGACTACTGCCCTTTTGGGAAGCTTTGTGTTGAGGTGTGGTGACAAGGCAGTTTTGGTGGTATTGACAATAATAGAAATTGGTGATTACATCTTGATTTCCTCCTTCCAAACACTGAAGCAGCATCAGCGATCTTTCCTTGAATTACAAACCAGCCATATCTACATCAGTTCAGGGAGCAACCTGGCAGAGCAGAGGAGCAAGGGCAGAAGGCCAGAACTGCTTCTCTGGGGGAAATCACCCAGCAGGCCTGGAAACAGAAACCTGTATCAGGTCAATTTCAGGCACTTTACAGGGCTTTCCTTAAAATAGTCCTCTTCCCGTGGAGCACTGCGTGCTTCTTCAGCCTTAACTACCGTATGGAGTAACCATTTATCGAGTCCTTGACTAGATGTGCATATTTCTTCTTACCAATTGCATTATATAATTTAAAACATGTTCACAGTGTTGTATGTCTTTGGGTCCCTGTGCGTACCTTCTGGGAGTCAGTCCCCTTGAAGAATCCCCACGTGTGGGCAGTTTCCTTTGAGATGGTCCCCAGGGCAGGCTCCAGCTCCCTTTTCCTTTAACCTCATTAGGGCGCCGCCATGTGAGCAGTGTAATGAAGTTTCATGGTTTCTGGGCTTTTAAGCATGCCCCCCGCCCCACATGCAGACTTTCTTGTCGTTCACAGTGAGCAGGGGTTTCCAGATTTTCTGTTCTCAGGTGAGCCTAATCCTTAATATTGAGATCCAGTCCTGTGCTGTTTCTATATACTGTGTTTTATCATTTCTGAGATGCACATTTACATTTATATTTATTCACTTTTTAATCTTTCTGTTTTTGGGATATGTCTTCTAGCCAGTCAGTTATAAACTGTGTCAAAGTTTAATCAGCAACTTTTTTCCTTTTTGCACCTTCGTTAAGATGGGGTACTGTGAGCTGTATAGTGTGTGCATGTGTGGGTTTCCGCACCCGGGCGCAGAGACTACTCCAGTCCCTACTTCAGAATTTTCTTAAGGTGTCATATTTATGAAACATTCTGTCTTTTAGGTAAGAAATGTTTTCAATATGACAGCAAAAGAGGGAAGAAAGAGATCAGTCCGTGTCCTGGTCGCTGTGGGGAATGGCAAAGGAGCCGCAGGTGAATGACATGAGCAGTGCTGGTGTTGGAGGTGGGGTGAGACAGGTGTGGCCTGGGCTTCGCTCTGGAGTCTGTGGGTTTGTGCTGCCAGCCAGACTTTCTATTGATGAAACTTTTTGTGGTTTGAGCTCACAAACCTTTTGGTCAACTCATAAAATTCCCTAGCGGGGAAAGAAAGAGTAGATCTTTTTACATCTGCCTTTTCCTGTGAGGTCACTGGACATTTTAAAAGGCTTATTGTGTTATGTAGAGTAGTGAAAAATTAGGGGGAACCACTAAATGTTAACAATAGGGACGCAGTTACAAAAAGAATATAGTCATGCATTGTAACGTCTGTTGCCACTCAAGGATTATGGAAACCTACTCGCAAAATAATGCTAAGTGAGAAAACATGACTTCATATAAGCCTGTAAAATATAATTCCAGTTTTTTCTTTAAAAATATGTTTTTATACACAAAGTAAAGATTGGAAGGATATACACTGAAAGATTTATGACGTTTACTCTAATTCATAGGCTTACCACTCATTTAAAATTTATTTTTTAAGCTTCCATAGCGAACATCTGTTTTGAAATGTATACCTGAATGTGTCGGGGAAAGAAAAGTGCCTATTTAACCCACACTGACACTCCAAACAAGTGTACATGTGGGTAGTATGGTGCCAGGGGAAGCCAATCCTAACATTTATTTTTTTTTATCTTTCCAGAAATTCTGTATTCACATATCTTTTTAAAAAAGTTTTGGGAGCATTTGAGATCTTGTTCCCTGGCACATGTCATCAGTTTGGCTCAAAATAACTCTTATAAAAATTAAAAAAAAAAAAAAAAGAATGCGGAAAAGTCACAATGCATCCTGATTTCTCACTCAGCTGCGCCCTCGGGTTCCTGCTTCCTCTTTGAGCTGACTGTGTGGTGTCCTTGTGTGGGTAGTGTAGGTTGTGTTACTTTTTCCTTATTGCTGAATGTTTATATTGTTTCCATACGTCGTTTCCAGTTTCGTGGTAATTGTACATTTAATTTGTTATACCTTCACAAGATTATCAATAGGGGAATTTCCTGCAGTGCAATTCCTGCCTCAGCTTGGTCTGCGTTTGGGATGTTGATGGGTGTTGCCAGAGCCCTCAGTTTCTATTCGGCTGTTCCCTCCCACCCTTGCCCACCCTGGATAACATCAGACTTTACTGATCATTAGTATCACAGTGAAACACACCTCGCAGTTTGGGTTTACGTTTCTTTAATCGTGAGAGTTTGGACACCATTGCACATGTTTGTCAGCCATTGTCATTCCCTCCAGCTCTGTGAGTTCACACGCTTTGTGCATTTTTCTGTTGGGTGATTGCTCTTCTCGATAGTATAAGCTCTTTGTAAGTTGAGGACATTGGCCCTTTGTCTGTCATATATTTTGACTTAGTTTTTTATTTTTTTCCCGTGAAAGTTTTAAATCCACAGACGTTTTAAACTTTTATATAGCAGGTTTATCAGTTTTTTTTAAACTTCTGGTTTTCTGGTTTTGTGCTTGGAAAACCTTCATTTGAAGATTATAAATGTGTTTACTCATAGTTTCGTCTAGGGCTTGTGTGGTTTAATTTGTTATGTTTATACTAGGAACTGGACTCTCTTAGTCCCAGGTTCTCAGATGTCTTGTATATCTCATGGAGCAGTGTTGTCTTATGTTATCTTCCTGTGTGTCATTTAAAAATAAAATACATTCTTCAAAATAAATAATTCGCAGTGACGGCAAAGAGTGGAGACATTTCCATTGACTTGTGATTAAACCTCATCTCATCAGTTTAAGCATTTACAAGCTCAGGAACCCTTGATTTTATTTCCTAGTTCATTGAAATCTGAATTGCATTTGAAAGTTCCAGTGAAATCATGGTTTTACTCTATAGCAGTATGTTTTTCCCAACCTTCTGGCCTTTGTAATCTATTTTCAAAAATGTGCAAAAACATATACCTTACTGATTTAGGGCATGGTTGGTTTTATTTTTAATAGAGTATATTTAGGTTTAACTAGAGATTTATAAAAGGTAATGTTACGGATTTCATAGATACTTCAAATATACTGTTTCCAAAATTGCCCCCAAACAGGTAAGCAAATCTCTGCAGCCTCACACTTTGTCATTCGTTTTGGGTAGCACGTTTCCTGTAGGCAGAAGAAAAATGGAGCACTATGAAATATTGCAGGAGCTGATACTTGAAATGTGGTGAAAGACATTATGTGCCAAATTTATGCCTCTTTTCATAGTTTGGCTTTTCCTTTTAAAGGTTTTGCCATTGGGAAAGCCACTGAACGGATGGATGCTTTCAGAAAGGTATGTACATTTTTTCCTTTGTTGACAGTAAGAGATGAATAAGCTATGGATAGACACCATGGGAACCACACACAAAGCCTATAGAATGAAAAGACCTCTCCCCTGAGGCGTCCCATCCGAGTTCCTGAACCTCACAGAGCAATTTCTTTCTTTCTTTTTTTTTTTTTAGGCAAGGCAACCCTTGGTTGACTTCACAGATTGCAAAGACCTTGTCAGCTTACAATCCCGTATTTTTTATTTTTTTATGCCTACAGCACCTGGTCTTCCTCGGTGGTCTCCTATCCAAATACTAAACAGGCCCAACCCTGCTTAGCTTCCCAGATCAGACGGGATCGGGCTTTTTCAGGGTGGCGTGGCCGTAGACCACAAAGCAATTTCTGAAGGACCTGTACCCTTTTGCATCATTTTCACCAGACTCATGATTGTTACCAAGATTGCGAGACAACTGGGAGAGTGTGTCACACGACAGGATGTTCAGGACACTCAGGAATTATTAATTTTTTGAGGGGTGATAGTGATATCATGGTTATGACTTTTTAAATTTAATCATTAGTTTTTAGAAGTACATACTGAAATTGTTGTGTACGAGTTTGAAATTTTCCATAATACAATATTTTATGAAAGGCACTTTTCAAAATCTCTTAAGAAAATGTAAATTCCAGCAGTAGATTTAAGAAAAGTATTGGCCTTCTTTCTTTCAGGCCAAGAACAGAGCAGTTCATTATTTGCATTATGTGGAACGATATGAAGGCCATACAAGTGAGTGTTAATCTTTTCTTTTAAAATTTGCAGGGTGATGTTTATTCGTTACATGTGGCAGTATATCTCTATGGTATTCGTTACATGTGGCAGTATGTCTCTATGATGGTTGTTTTCTCTGTTTGTTGCTGCGTTCTTACCTTAAAAATAAAAAACGTGGAAACAAATGTTCTCTCCTGGGAAGGAGAGTGAAGTCAGACCTTGTCGCTCATCCCTGGCCACTGCTTGTTGGCTGCTTAGTCAGGGCCATATTGGTTGCTCTGTAATGTCCGCAGGGGCATTCAAGCCGCACACCTAACCCTGTTCATCTTTGTGTTCTCGCCCTCCAGTATTCCATGACATCTCTTTAACATTTAAGAGGACACACATCAAGATGAAGAAACAACCCAGAGGTAACTAAAAAACAATTATAATTTGTTGGCAGTATAGCACAGCGGTTATAACAGTTTCATCCTGTCCTCTGCCTTTGCTTACCTTCACTTGAACTCATTCTGAAAATGCCCAACAGAGATGCCTCAGTCAGATTTGAGAAGCTGAGGCTCGGGGCTCTGTGAGCACAGCCTGCTGCAGGAGTGAGTCTGGTGGGAAGAGCACATTAGCAAAAGGAAGTAGCAGCTGAGTGAGTAGTTGGGTTTGGACAAGTGGAGACAATAGTTCCCCAAGAGAATTCATTGATGCTTTTAAATGGTTCTGTCCTTGTGGCTTATTCAGTTCCAGTCGCTCACTATCATCACCAGTAGTAATTAGACATCAAAATACAGTCGGCTCTGGGATGCAGGGACGGGCCTTCTCCCTCTCTGGGGCTGAATCCCAAGAAGAGCTTTCAGGCAGCTCTGTTAATTTTCATGACAGCCCTGGTTTTTTGCCCAGGTGTTTGAAGAATTTATATGTTATTTCTTTAATCCGAATAAGATCTCATTTAAATAAGTGTCATCATCGAAGTTAAGTGAGTTGTCAAGAGTCACCCAGCTAGGAAGTGATGGAGCCAGACTGCGAACCAGGCTCACCCAAGCCCAGAGCCTGGAGCTGTGTGGAAGCGACAGGGTGACTGAGTCCGAGTTCTCCCTTCTCTAGGGTATGGCCTCCGCTGCCACCGGGCCATCATCACCATCTGCCGTCTCATTGGCATCAAAGACATGTACGCCAGGGTCTCCGGGTCCCTCAACATGCTCAACCTCACGCGGGGCCTCTTCCACGGGCTTGCGCACCAGGTAACGCCACCCTGGGTCTGAAACAGAAATTCCTGCCTGTGTTTCAGGTGCCAGTATCAAGGCCGCCATGTGCCTGGGGTGCCCCGGAGTTGCCATCCTGGGGCCGCCCAAGGATGCAGGGCTTCTGTGCTCTTCAGTCAGGTGGTCCAACAAGAGACTTAATTCTCGGCGGTTACCCTTTAAAAAATACTTCCTGGGTGTTTTGAACTTTTAAAATTAAGTATTTTGAAAAGCTAGTTATTATAATTTTTGTCTTATGAAAAGCAGACATTTGTTCTAAAGCTTCAACACCATAGAAGTTAAAGTAAAAAAAAAGTCTGTTTCTTGATGTAGTTCTTTCCTTAGTGCTGGCCCTGTCGCTCATGGGAGCCATCTGAGCAGGAGTGCGTCAGGTCGCACGGACTGCGTAGGCAGCTTAGCCCGGCCGAACTAGATGGGACTGGGTGCTGATGGGCCAGGTCCTTTCTCCACAGCCCAGCGGCTGATGGTCACCTGCACAGCAGAGGTGAAGGACCAACTGTCCTTTGAAGGGATGGGTAGCTCTTAGCAGAACAGCCAGACAGGCTGAGAGACTCCATTTGCTGAGGACTTTGATGGGCTTCCTGATACTGAGTTTGATGGCTGCTTTTGAATAAAATGATCCTTGGAAAATTGCAGGTGTCTGTTTAAAAAGGAAAATTGATCAAAGAGAAAGCTTTGTTTAAAAGATCTTTTTTGAACAGCTATTTGTGCACGTATGCGTGCACTATCCAAAACACCCTTCAAAAGTACTTCTAAATGTAAACTTGTTAGAAGTTGACTTCATTGAAGTAACAGATTGGTTGTGGACAGGTCATGGTCATGGTCAGAACACTTGGTCACTTCCATTTCTGTTTTACATTAGTACTTCGAATATTCTGATGTAATTACTGATTCCCTCTTATATGCCCTCAGCTGTAAAAAACTTGGATTATTTTAATGTGCTACCCAAGAGAAAAAAGTGCCACCAATTTTAGTAACATAAAAAAAATAATTGATTGTAAGAAACACTGACTTATTTTGTTTTTATGAAACGGCTCATCTCTTCTGATTTCAAACGTGTGTAGAATTAGGATAGTACATGTGGGCGTAGAGTGTGCAAATGTGAGATTGAACACATCAGTACCTATTTTGATGTACCATCAGTAAACCATCTACTAGATTTATTTCCCTGTTTCCAGACTTTGACAGAACCTCTGTCACAGATCCCTGTGGTACTGTGATCCAGTGTCCATGGGGAGCAGCTCGTGGCCGCTTGTTTCTCTGCCAGCCCCACCCAGCCTCAGTTATTTTGAACCAAATCTCAAGACATCATTTTATTTCAATATGTATTTCTAAAAGATATAGATTTGAAAGTACCCCGGCATACTATTATCTTACCTAAAACAATTCACAGAGATTTGGTATCATCACATATCTTGTCAGTGCTCCTAAAAATATCTACTTATCAGATTAAAAAATTTTTTACACAATTTGTTTGAATCAGATTACAGATAGGTCAATACAGTGTAAATTCTGCCATGTCTTTTAAGTCACTTTACTGTGTAGGTTCCCTTTTCTTTCTTCATGTGTCCTGTTGAAGAAACGAGGTCGTGTCCTGTGGTTTCCCAGTCTGGTGCTAACTGCATGTCTGTGGGTTCTTTGCATCCCCTCCCCCGTCGCGTCCTCTGGATTGGGAGCTGGGGTTTGATGAGACCCAGACTGATGGGGCGCATTGTGGCTCACGATTGGGCGGGCTGGAAGGCTGGAGACCAGGGCCCTTGCTCCCTCCCGCTGCGGTGGGAGATGGGCTGAGATGATTCCATCTGCAACAGGTCCCCCAGAAGCACCTGCAAGGGCATTCACCAGTGGCACAGTGCCCTCACTACTGGCTCCCTGCTGGCCAAGGCGGTGACGCCCAGGGTCACAGATGTGCCTCGCAGACTTAACTGCTGTCTCCTCTGGTCTCACAGGAAACCCACCAGCAGCTGGCCAACAAGAAGGGTCTTCACGTCGTGGAGTTCCGGGAGGAGTGCGGCCCGCTGCCCATTGTGGTGGCCTCGCCCCAAGGGGCCCTGAGGAAGGACCCGGAGCCCGAGGACGAGGTTCCAGATTGCAAACTGGACTGGGGGGAGGTGAAGGCCACCCAGGGAGTGAAGCGTTCTGTGTGGTCAGGCCTAAAGCGAGCAGCTGCCTGAGCTGCCTCTGCCTTGTCCCCCGCGGGGCCAGCTGTGTGCAGCACCTGTGGCTCGATCTTCATGTCCCAGGCGGTGGTGTTTGTAAAGGAAAGGCTGACCTTAATTTCTTTATTTATGAATGATAAATAAGCAGAGCTGTAACCCACTGAGCACATGCAGTGTACCAGTCACCATGATGGGAGTTTTCACCCAGCTCTCAGCCTCGGGGCCGCTTTACGTGTGCACGTAAACCAGTGGCAACAGGTGAGCCACCTAATGGGAAAGGGCATGCAGTCCAGGTACAGTTACTTGCCTAGTCATGCAGCTGGAAGATAGAGGAAAATGGGCCAGCCTTGTTCTTTCTGACTCCCGTGAAGCCTCTTGGCATGGGTGTTTTAGCGACTGCTCTAGGCTCATGTGGCACTCACCCCTCATTGCAGTCTGTGGTGTGGCTTCACCCCTCTTGGCAGTGTTTTAACATTTCCTCTGCCTGCACTGAGAACCATGTTGGACAGTGTTATCCTTTCTGCTTCAACCATCGAAGTAACAGAAAACTCAAGAACAAAAGCCCATTGTATTTACCCACTTTCATACTCTTTCTGTTGCTTGAGCGTCTTCCTGATACCCCAGGTGTCCTCCTCACATCATTCTGAGTAGGAAGAGCCCAGGCCCCTACCTCCTCTTTTACTCTCATGACTTCCACATGCTCATTTCTGACACCAGATATGGGAGTTCACCCCCATGAAGCAGTTCTCTCTGACACCAGCTGTGTGTCCTACAGTTGCCTCAGTCCTGACACTGTTTGACTGGAGATGGCATCAGACTCCATAGATTCAGTGTTAGTCCTGTAAGTCACCTTTGCTTCTGACTGGCTGGCTCGAAATCAGAGGCTGCCCTCAAACTCCTGAATTGGGTTCCGTTAACTTGCTGGAACAGCTTGCAGAACTCGGGGAATAAATCAGAGGCTGCCCTCAAACTCCTGCATTGGGAGTTAACTTGCTGGAACAGCTTGCAGAACTCGGGGAAAACAGTCCACTTAACGTTTACAGTTTGTTATAAGAGGATGTGTTGAAGGATGCGGGTGAACAGCAGAGGGGACAGAGGCAGGGGTAAGTGGGGGAGGCATTTGCAGGGGGCAGAGCTTCCAGGTTCCCGGCACCCCCTCCCCAACCTTCCTGGGCATCAACCTAGAAGTTCTCCCAGCCCGTCCATCCAGGATTTTATGGAGGCTCCCTTGTCCTCGGCTGGAATGGGGGCGCTGCCCCACTTTAGTCAAGTGGGAATTGAGGTCCAGGTGACCTCAGGCTTCACTTCTGCCTGGAAGCAGGAGTGGCAGTCCAGTGACACTGCGGGATGGGAGAAAGCCACATCAGGCAGGACGGCGCTTGGCCTGTGACACCAGATGAGGATGGGGCTACATTTTTCTCTGTGACATTGGCTTGAGTAAGGAAGGTAGTTATCATCTAGATATTTTCTGTCTTGTTGGGTTATCCTCTCTCCTTACATAGCTAAGACATCAAGACATTCAACTTCAGGAGACAAATGACAGTGATCTCTCAGAGGTAGTAAACAAATGAAATTATCCTCCCTTACCACCTGGAGAAAGTCTGCAGAAGGAACCTCTCAGGACCTTGTGGTCTTCCTGGGTTGAGGAGATGGGGTTGGGGGTTCCAGGGCCATCCAGGCAGCCAGAGTTCACAGGGAGTGGGGAGCTGCCCAGCAAGAGAGCTGAGGCCTGCGGGGGTTCCCGGCTGCACTGTGTGTGCAGCATGGTGCGTGCCTGTGAGGGAGCTGCCCACAACCAGAGAGCTAACACCCAAAAGGGCCAAAGGGAACAGCGTTTGGAGTGGAAACTTGTAACCCATGCTGCCTTCAAGGAGCAGTAAGACATCTCGCCTTGATGGTAGGAGTACTAATCCTGCACAAAACCCAGCTCTGCTTCCACTTCAGACCTAAGGAGCAAGATCCGACTATGACAACTGTTTCCACATAATAAAGCTCGCGAATATTGGTAACAGTACAAATGTGTCTAGTGAGGTGCGGTTTACAGTGCCTGGCCTCTGGTAAAAATCACCAAGAATGCAAAGGTGCATGAAAATAAAATATGAGAGAAAACCAACCAGTTGAAACAACCCTGAAATAACAACAACCTAGTAAATAAGGACATTGAAACAGATGAGTAGACAAGGACTCTATTCCATATTTCAAAAAACTAAACATGTTCAGAGGCATGGAAGATAAAATATGCAAATAAAACTTTGAGAGATGAAAAACATCCTGATGTAGTTAAGAGCAGGTGGGACACTGAGGAAGAGATGAATGAACTTGAAGACAGCAACAAAAACACCCAAAATTGAACTGAAGTACTGAGGAAGGACAGGTCTCTGGTGTCCACCCTCTTGGGGGAAGAGAGAGGTCCAGCATGTCGCCTTGGTCCTCCTGCTGACGTGGAGACTCCAAAGGGACCAAGCCCACATGTGCCTGTGTAGTCGTGCCCAAGAAAGGAGGGGCCTCATACCACCTTTGTCCTGTGCATCTCTCCCGGTCACCTGGCCACACGCAGACTCTGCCAGCTTCTGCAGCCACATCTGTCTTTTCTCACAGATATTCTGTCTAGAGAACAAGTTATCTGGGCCCAGAGGCAACAGAGTTGGGCTTCTTACTGCTCAGGATTGGGGGTGGTTCTCCCATCCGCGAGGGCTGGAAGACACTGTGCTCAGGGAGATAGGGGACATGGGGGAGGCCCTCGTTCCTGGGACACTTCTGCAGGTTGGCTCCGTCCCTCCCTGCCTGGCCTGGGCTTCTGCCTCAGCATGGAGCAGGGCCTCAGTGAGTATGACTCAGTGTCAAAGGACCTGCCTCCTTGTCTGCACAGTGGAAATGACAGTAGCACCCACCCAGGAGAGCTGTTGTGAGGTAGCAGCAAAGAATATGTGGGGAGCTCAGCTTCAGTCACAGGGAAGGATGCCACTGTAACAGGAGGGAACAAAGCTGAGCTGGCATGGGCCAGATGCTGACCACATGGCGGCCGTCTATCGCCCCTTCCAGCACCCCTCTTTCCCCACCTTCCTGCCTGGTGCGGGCACG